TTTTTTTTTTTTGCTGCTTATTAATCTTGAAAAAGTCTATTTCAACAAAAATGTTAATTACCTTTAATTAACAAGTCAGCTAAATAATTATTGAAGATTAGCAATTTGGTAGGAAAATTCTTCTGCTACTAATGATTATAGGAAATATAGAATTAGAAATTTTAGCTACGAAGAACAGTGATCGTTAAGAATACAAACAAAAAATAAAACTTTATAACAGCTGGTCGTGAAATTTTGCAACAAAAAATAATCACTCAACATTTTAAGCGAATTTAGTTGAAATGAACAAAACAAAATTTTTACTTTCAGGGTGAACCCTGGTACCTGGCATTATTTGCAATTGCAAAAAATAAATCTGCTTCATTGTTGGAGCCAAATGAAGGTTATGAAGTTCGTGAATTTTACAAAAATGTCACCAAAGCCAAGATACTGGATCCGGTTACGAACAGAAATTTCAGTTATCAAAACTATGATAGCTCCAAAACTATTGAACTCTGTCAACCATTCTGCGAATTCAATGGAGCATTATGGAAAATTTTGGTATAGTTTGCCACTTAACAAGTCTCAACTTAATTAGCACAGTCTATTAGTTAATTAGATAAAGAAACTGCTAAATTATTTATAAAATTTTTGCCAAATTGTACAAAACACTTGAAAAAAAATTAATTAGTTTAATGTTGGCAGTCTTCTATTAATCACCATCGAACAAAATAACTAAAAGTACAAAAGTTACAGAAAAATTTAGTAGCAATACGACAAAATTATTCTTGATTTTTTAATTTAAGAAAAAAACTGCTAAGAAGATTTTGAATAATCTTACAAACTTAATTGACAAAATTTTTTTTATCTCAAAAATTTATGACTGAATGTCTGCGGTTTTCTTGTCACAATTAACAGATACTTGAAGAAACCGGTTAAATGAAACTAGAAATGGTTGTTAAAAAATAGCTTTTTTTACCTTTTAGATTTGTTCAAACTTATATAATCAATTTACTTTGTGCTTCTGCTTTGATCTGATATTATATGTTCAGCTTTTGAAACATTTTTAGCAATATAAAGATTTTTTTGACCTAACCTATCCGCTGGCAACAGTTGGGCCGTTTAAATCAAATATTGGCAAATTTCTTTTTGATCGAACTGTCAATGCCACAGGTTTTATATTTTGCTATCTTATGCCTAAAAAGAACTTTAAAAAAAGTTGAAAAAAAACAACAGTTTGTAAAACTTCAAACATATTGTCAGTCAACTAATAAAGAAGAAAAAAAAAGAAGTTTTTATTTTTGTTCTAGGTCATATAACATCTAGCAGAACCTTAGCAGTATATTTTACGACCTTTGTCAACACCAGCACAAAAGCACGGCGACTTCAACTGTTCGAAAAGCATGTTTTAAAGTAAGTTTTAATGCCTTATCGGTAGACACTAAAGTAAATCAAGTTTTTTTTTGCATTGGTAGTCACAAAAACCAGATGAATACTGTCAGCTAAAGAATGGTAAAGCAATTGTAATTAAGTCAACTTTGCAATTGCTCTTCTGCAATATTTAATAAAACTTGTCTAAAATGAAGAATTGTTAACTTATATATAATTCTTTAGACAGGTGGAGAAGCATAATGCAATTGCCAAGAACGCTATACGATTTGTACTTCATGGAGCATATCCAGTTTCACAGGAAGTTAAGCGAGGCGTTAAGACAGCAGCTAAATATTACTTAACCGGTAAAACAGATTCTTATTCTCATTTAAATATCTGAAGTTTTAGAATTGTCATATTGACTCCATATATCTTCTTTTGAACATAATTTTTTAAATACATTTAGCTAGTCTGATTTTCAGGTGCCGTGTTACTGATATCATTTGTGATCGGATCATTCATTTTGGCATCGCTTACCTACAGACAAAAAATTTCCAGCTACATTGCTGTCATTGCTGCAGCAATACTAAGTCCAGTTTTGGCTTCCATAACAGCACTTGGAATAGTGTTGCTAATCGGCTTACATATCAATATGCTTGTATTAATCTCACCATTTTTAACGTTAGCAATGGGCATAGGTAAGTTAATGGTAGCGCTCTATGCTGCTTTTTGTTACTTTCTTCACTTCGAATTTGTTATGAATACCAACAGCTTCTCGCTTTTTTCTTTCTTTATTCTACATTTTTATTAAAACGCAGGTAATCGTCATTTCACAACTTTATAATAAGCCGAGTATTAAAAAGAAAAATTAAGCATGAAAAATTATGTATTTACTGTAAAAATTTTTACGTTTTAATAAATATAAAAATATATCCTCTTCTTCAGATAAAAAAAGAATTTTTTTCTTTAAATTTAGTTTAAGCCTAAGTTTCAATTATCAATTTGAGATTTAGTTCAAGTAAAATTTCTGAAGTAAGCTTATGCTTAAGTTTTAAGTCGTAGTTTAAACCTGAGTAGGACTTAAAGGTAAAGTTAAAAGTTAAGCTTAGGCATTTAAGATAAGTCTAGGTCTAAACGAAAGATTCCAGTTTAAGCTAAGACTCGACATTATAATTTCAAACTAAGCTTAAGTTTGAAGTGATTTTCAAATTAATTTTGAATCTTAACAAAATTTTTAATTTAAACCAAAATAAAGTTTTTAGTCAGTACTCGAATTTTAGTTAAACTTGCAATATAAATGCAGGCCTAAACTAAACTTTTAGTCTAAGTTTATACACAGATCATAACTGTCAGTGCGGGCTTAAGATTCCTGACAAACGGTTACAGATGCAGCAATAGCCAGAAAAGTTGGAGAACACTTTTTCAAAATAACGCGGTTTACCTGGCAAATGCTTTAGAATCTGTCTTACATAGGTTGAAAACAACAAAAATTTCTTTGTTAAAAAAAAAAAACTTTTTTTTTCAAATACTTTTTAAGATTTATAACTATTCAAAGTTGATTGTCAAGAAAATTATCAGGTGCTTAGCTGGCGATTTTAGAGGTTAAGTTTTACCAGTCATCTCTTTGATTCTATTAACACTGTTACAGCCGAATTGTGTTTGTTGAACAAAGCTTATGTAAAAAATTATCGTAAAGAGTTTTCTGAACTGTTTTTGAAGCATTACTATTAAGAAATATTTAAAATTACTCTGTGATTACGTTTATAAGTTAGGAAGAAAAAAAAACTAATAAATTGTTTATGATGAAAATAGATGAAAATACATTTCACCGTGTTATGCCGAAGTTTGAGGACCACTGCCGTTGAAGCAGACCAACCACCGTATCTTGTCTTTGCTGCTTTCTTTTTTCTTTGTAATAAACATCAACGAATACGGATACTTATCAGCTGCTAATACAAAAAAATCATTGCCAACAATTCAGAGACATTTAAGTCAATGTCTTATTTAAAAAAAAAAAAA